GCCAACTGTGCATGTGCCACTGAGAGGGCCGGCAGCGTTTAGCTGTGTGGGCCCTGGGCTGCGCGGACCCAAGTTTGAGCTGCTGCCGGGGATGTTTGTGGTGGCAGCGAACATACCTCAGCTGCCCGAGCAGCAGGGCTTCCCTGCACCTCCCTGCCTAAGGCGGCTACGAAAACAGCCAGCAGGGAGGGGGAGGGAAGGAGGGAGGGATGCTGCGCAGGCCCAGGTGGCAGGGAAGGGAGAGGAGGGGGGGGTCACAGTGGCAGCACCACCCCCCCGCCACTCAGCTTGAACAACAGCCAGTAGGGAGGAGAGAGGGAAGTGGGGAGGAGACGTGGGGGAAGCCCCACTGCGAGGTGGAGGTGGACGGGGAGAGGGAGCCCCTGTGTTGGAGAGGGAGTCTTTACATGGCCAGGCCCAAAGGGTGAGTGGGGGGTAGGGGTCATGTAAGCATGCCCCGAAATCAGTCATTCCTGACGAGCAATTAGCTAGTAATTAATAGAATTGTCTTTTTGTTTTCTAGCAGATGTGTGTTCCTATCAATTCTTTGTATATTTGCAGTATTCTGACATACATGCTCTCAGCCACAAGATCAAGGACTGAATAAGATCTTTTCCCACCACTAAAGTACTTTCATGAAGTTCGGTTTGCAGTATATTACTAAGCCATTTTAGGGAAACTTCATGGGCACTGATCATATTCAACCTTTTTGCTTCAGCAGCCTGGGATGTCATTGGTCATCTCTCATCAACAATAAATAATAAATATTTTTAAATCGGTCATCTTTCCAAGTCATTCTAATAGTAGCATTAATTTTCAAATCTGCTTTTGAAAGTCTGCTAAATAAATTACAAGAAAAGTGGTATGCTCTCTGACTGTTCTCAACATTACTGTTACAGCAGTGATTCTTAACCAGGGTGCCATGGGATGCCATTAAATCCTTTTCAAGATGCCACATACCCATAGTTGTATAAGTACCCACTCATGATTCACCAGATAGAGATTTCAAATAGGAATCCATAATGTCAAAAGCATTCTTACCTTTGTGGTCTTTCTGGGTTGTTTGCAACAAAAGAAGGGGAAGGGATGTATGTCTGTGTATGTTTTACAAATGGCAGTTATGAGACTGTGTGGGAAGAGATGCAGGTTATGGTATCTTATAAGTATAACCAGTTCATACATACATTTTTACATTTTGTTTTATAATGTAAAGTTTTGTTTTATTTTGAAGCACTGACTAGCAAAAAATTTCCATTTAGAATTTACAATTCAGTTGTTACGGCTTAATTTATAGCTAAACTTTTTAGTAAAAATGTTTCTTTTTTCCAATTATTACAGGAACCTATTTTTTCGAGTGTCTTCCTTAACTAAAATGGGAATCAAACTGGTGTTTGTCATGGAGGGGGATGCCCCAAAACTGAAAGCAGACACCATGAGTAAGAGGAATGAACTGCGCTATGGACTTCCTAAGAAATCTGGAGCAGCAAAAACAGGGAGATCCTATTTTAAATCATTCTTAAAAGAAGTGAGTAATTGGGAGTATTTTGATATTCATAGTATTAGCAGAATGGCATGGAGGGAAAGAAACCTCAACTAGATAAATTATGGGAAAGTATTTAAACAAAACTGAACACGCGGAAAATCTTTGTGGAGGTATTTCTATAATACACTGAGGGAAGAGAATCTATACCACTCTGAGATGGACGTTAGGCTTTGCCATTTAATCTGTTAAGTCTAATGAACTGTTTGTGTTGGTCCATGTAAAATTCCAGGGAATATGGTATTTTGTGTGTACTGTACAGTGCTGAGTACAATGATGGCAGTCAAGGATTATTTTTACATAGCCTAACACGAATTATGTCACCTTTGTAACCTGAGTGTTGGTTTATTTCCCAGCTGGGGAGAAGTTATGATAGCCATAATAATTACATTTGAGGGGACGGGGAAATATATTTTAACTAGGATGATAAGAATAAGATTACATTGGTAGTTGTTTTGTCACACCATACCAAGAGGTGTATACAAAGATATTTAATTATTATTAGTCTTTGACTAATTCTCTATTTACTCTTGTTCCTTTTCTCATCTGTAATCATTTTGGTCTATTCTGGTGTATATTCACATGGGCTTTACTATGGAGCTGACTAATTAGCTGTGTAGTAAAGTGTTACCATCTGCACATGTGCCTGTATTTCATAGTTTTCATAGACATTAGGGCTGGAAGGGACCT